TTCAGAAACATATTGTGGCATCCGCCAGGCTATCAAGAATCTTAGGCATTCGCTGTCGAATATCCTAGAATCTAGCGAATTTTTCTACTTTAATCGGGAAAATAAGATTATCGAGTGTATTCTAGATTTTACAGGAATAGATTTAGGGATATATAACGGCCGCTATTGCTTTGTAGTTTTTAAGTTAAAGTTTGACTGTGATACCTACGAGTTAAATGGTGACTATTGTTGCGAGTTGCGAGTTGTGAAAAGTTTAGTTGTTGAGTTAGTAATTAGTGTCAAAGTGTAAAGTTATGTGAAATACATTATTGCTGTGTTAATTGGACTTTGATTTTGGAATAAACGAAACGAACCCAAGATTTCTGTCAGGCAATCCAAAAGCGTGACAATATTATCAAAGTTATATTAAATAAGCCAAAATCTTACTCAACGGAATTGATTTTTCGGAATACCCCATTTATGGATTTTGATACTATTTACATTATGACGTCAGTAAATTTATAAAAATCAAGGCTTAAGTTAACGTATAAGCCACGGTCACAATAGCAGAGCGGTAACCAGCATGAACTGTTAAACTAAGAAACCAGGTAACACTTCGTATTCAAGGTTTGTCGACTTAGTGGGAATAAAACTCTAAAACCTGCTTCCTTCTAGTGTGAAAGATCAGTAAATCTTTGAGCATTTTAAAAAAGCATCCAAAAGTCATATTCAGGTAAATATCGAAAAATTTAAATCTGTAATAAATAGCATAAACCTATCATCAATACTGTTATTTTAAGTGGTATTTATTCATTATTAAGTAAAAAATAAGAAAACCGGGATGGTAATATTTAAATTTATATAATTATAGCAGGATAGACACGACAACAAAAATAACTGTATAACATTTTAATCACAAAAATGCGGCGACAAACTCTATGTAGAGCTTAGGTGCAATACTGTAGGAAAAAAATTGAACCAACTGTTGTAATATAACATTTTTGATTTTGAATTTGAATAGAAGCCACCCAAGAAGCAATAGGAACGAAGAAAAAAAATACCAACAAGAAATACTGGTGGAATAAGGAGATAGAGCTATTAGTCCAAGAGAAGATGCAAAATTATCTGAAATAGCTAACAACAACAAATAGATAAGATCTTGAAGTTTATAAAGACACAAAAAGACAACTAAGATCGTGCATCACTATAGCTAAGGGGATAAAAAATGTGGAGAAATTAACACCTACGTATCAGGAAGGAAATGCTCAGAGGTATTGTGATTTATATCGAATGTCAAAAACCCATCAGGAAAGGACAGAGCTAATATCCAGATTATTAAGCCAGAGCAATGGATAGAACAGTACAAGGGTTTATTACAAGAAAGCAGACCGGAATATAGGTACATTAGATTCTCCAAGACATATTAAAGTACATGGAGAAATAGTTGAGATATCTGAAGAGACAGTAAAAAAGACTGTTAAGAATCTTAAGTCGGGTCCCAGAAGGAAAATACCTCGAAAGGCTGGAGTGGGGAACTGAGAAGCTCTTTAAAGGTCTCACATGTATTATCAATAGATGCCTAAATGGACACCCTACTCCACAAGATTGGAAAACGGCTTTCATATCATCCATTCACATAAAAGGAAATAAGCTGGACTGCAATAACTATCGGGGCATATCAGTCACAAGCATACTAAGCAGACTATGCGGTAGAATCCTGCGTGGTCTCATTAAAGAAGATTACAAAGCGAAGCACGAAGAAGCGCAGTGCGACTTTAGAGCAGGAAGATTAGGTACAGACAACGTATTTTGCCTAAAACAACTCATAGAAAAGAGATCTGCTAGACATTTGGACACCCACCTCACATTTGTGGACCCACAAAATGCATACGATACAGTCCCAGCATCCAGACTATGGAAGGTAGAACAATCTAACATCAATCACACCTATACAACGGCACTTAAAGAACTATATAAAGACTCAAAAGCGAGAATTAAGATAGGTAAAAAACTCACAGACACGTTTATAGTGAATAAAGGACTACGTCAAAGATGTTATATCTCTCCTACGCTTTTTAAAATATACGTAACAGTAGCACTGATAAATTGGAAGAGGAAGATTCATGGAATGGGTATAGAGATAAATGATGGGTGCCTGTTTACTCTTCAGTTTGCAGATTATTAGGTCATAGTGGCCAGTGACAAAGGGGACATGCAATATATGATTAGAAAGCTGATAGAAGAGTACCAAGAATTGGGCCTGGGTGTTAATATAAATAAAACAAAATATCTATGTGTGGGCACCCAGAACGGAAACTTGGACGTGGACGATGGTCAGGAAATTGTGCAATGTCAAAATATAAGTATTTAGGTATACCATTCGACAACACCGGAAAACACGTGAAAGAAATAGAAAAACGAATAGTTAAAACTGAAAAACTAATAGGATGCCTAAATAGATCTTATGGAACAAGGAAATAACAAAGAAGAGAAAATTCAATATATACGAGACAATGATGAAGAGCAGCTTTCTATATTGAGCCGAGACTTAGAGAATTACAGACAGACAAAAGAAAAAAGTGGAAGCAGTTGAAATGCATACTATTAGAAGATCAATGCGAATCTCACGAAGAGAGAGAATAAGGAACGACAATATAAAACAACAAATGGGAATAGAAGGCACGATAGTTCAGGACAGAAAGAAAATAACTTACCTGGTACGGACACGTAGAACGAATGGCAAATACCAGGTGGCCCAGAAAAATGCTGCATTGGCAACCAACAAGTATAGAAGAAAACAACGAAAACCAAAACTGGAATGGCAGAAGACCATACAAAAGTCCATGAGTGGAAGAAATCTCTCATCAGAGGATTGCGACGATAGAAGAGGATGGAAATTAGGTGTCGGACAACGAAGAAAGACGTTCTAAAACAACATATATTAAATATGAAAGATTAATCGAGCAACTTCAAAAGTAGCAAAGAAGTGAGCTGTGAATTAGTTTTGTGACTAGTTACATCGTGATCCTGATTTTTGTGTTATTGCATTGAATAAAGGTAAAAAGCAGTTCACTTATTTGCGAACCGGTTATTTTTGAAGATTGAAATTGAAAGCGCCCGAATAAGTAGCAGAAACTAAACACCTCATGTTGAACAAGCCATAATTTCTGAAAATAAATTTATAGCCGCATGAAACATGATAAATACTTATATTGATTTGCAGGCCCGAATTCTCAGAAAATGCGATTGGAAACTTTATGAGGCGTTGAAAAATTTTGCCGAAATCAAATTAAATCACGTCAGGAAATTTGATATAGAGACTATGGGGTTATGGTTATATTTGCGTAGAATTTTGAATTTGAAGCTTTTCATTTAAGTACACATTCTTACATTAAGAAATTGATATCTTCTGGCTTTCTGATCGACGTTCTCTACAATCTTGGTTCGTATAACATAAATAAAAGTTAAATGATAAAAGATAAGTTTTTAATTACTCGTAATAAAGCTACTGAAAATCCATAAATCAAAATCAAAAATCAGTTCAAGGAAAAGTTCCACTTTGTTTGATCAAAAAATAATACGATCAAGGACTCGAAAAATTAGTATCGACTTCCTACAAAAATACTTAAAGTAAATTTTACCACAAAATGTTCAAAATATTCATGAAAGAGCTTTTTCGCAAGGCAAATGAGGCGTTAAAACTAATAAAAGAATAAATGTGCGAGTATACGTTTTCATAATACAGAGTCATTACGCGTTTTATAATTAGAAAATCGCCGGAATGGATATGAAATATTAAATAATCCAAGAGATTTTGATGAAAATTAAGACAAATCTAAAACACCAATTTCTAAAAGTAGGTACAAATAAAAAAGAAAAATAATAATAGTGAACCGAGTAAAACGAATCACACAAACTCGTACAAATCTGGGTAGTGTTTCATCACTTCCCAAGCTTTTGTATATATTCCACTTTCCTCCGAAATATTTATTTTAGATTTTCAGATTTTCCTCGCCGGGGTTCTAAATTTAACATCGAGAAATTTATACACATGTAAATATCTTTTGAAAATTTTTTGTTTATATTGCGGAGCCGTTTACAATTTTGAAATTAATTTTCCAGGCAGTGGCAAGACGTTTAATTAAATCGAATACTGGGAGAGAGCAGTGCAGTAAATAAATGTCATTGGGGCTTTTTCAACGGGAGAATAATTCAAAAGCTGCATGGTAATGAATTATGTTGAGCGTATTTACCAGGAAAAAGGATCATGTTGGATATTCGGTGGTAATTTATCTTTGGTTAAATGGTGTTTGGATTCAAAATAAGATTTATGATGTTTCATTCGATGATTATTAAGTTGAAATTTTGAAAACTCATTATGTTGGTATTGTTTGAATATCAAGATTTTCAATTAACATAGGTATCTTTAAGTCTCCTTGGTTTTATTCCTGGATCAAGGCCTCTTTGAAAAACTTAATTTTTTTTCTATTTAGAAGAGTTCTCGTCAGCTATGGCTATGCTATCCAGATTATCTAAGGTCGCTTTGAAGGTATTTGTACGTTGGGCATGATTTCATAATTCTGCTAGTCCAGTATTTCCAGTTGTAATTCTTTCGTCTGTATCCTCGCCTCTTCTTTCAATTTCTTAATTTACCTACTACTTTACTCTCAATCTGTTTAGTCTCTACTCTGCAAGTGTTACTGATTCCATAACAATAAGCCCAAAACAATCGGACCAATAAGTACCATTTATTCTTTCGAAAGAGTTTTTGAAATGTGAATAGAAAACCTAGACCCTTAAAAACAAAGCAAATCAATTGATTGCAAAAAATTAAACTGTCAGTTCCGTTTCCCTTTCAATCCATATGGAGTAAGAAAAGTTCACCGATTAAATAAGCCAAGATTAATGATCTTGTTCAATAATTATTACTGGCAACGCACCTTCAATTGGCACATAATCAAAACTACCCATCCTTATACATCAAATCATTAAAATAATTTATATTTGTTTTTGTTTTCAAATTATCTGGCAACCGCACCAGCTAATAAAACGACTAATTAAAAATCACATTTATATTTCCGATACTCACCCAGCCTTAGATCGTCGTTGGACGACGCCGAGCTTATGGTACCGGGTGTCGAAATTCCAGCGCCGGAATCGCCAGGACTGTGGCCCATTTCGTCGCCCGTCGATGGTACTCGTAGGTACCTGGCTACTTCGTAGTTGACCGGGACGTGGATGCCGCTGTCTTGGGATTTGGAGTCGCCAACATTGGAGGCTTTTTCCCATCTGAAAATGTAAGATTATATTTACTGGAGCCTCGTTAATATTTGTCGTAAGAAGGAGTAATAAAAAGATCCAGGTGAAGATATTAGAAGGGAGTTAAAGAAACTAGAATCGAGAGAATTATTTCTTCTCAGTATTGTTTGTAGTCTCTAGTTATTATACATTCTTCTGGCCTCTTTATGTTTATTATTTGTTCCTGGTCATCTGGCCCATATGGGTATAACTACATACATATATCCACGAAGGAATAATAGGCGTAGAGATAAACTGCTGGGATAATAAGTAGCCACACACAAACTGTAGAATGACCTAGGAGAAGATACCTGGAAGTATTTAGAATCAGAAAAACTGAAATCCATCGACCATCGATAAGAGCGAGCTATAGGTAGACCTAAAACAACTCCGGGAGATCAAATCAATAGCAAGATGTTGAAAAGTTCGAGGAGACAACCAGTGTTAACTCTGTCAAGCAAATATCTTCTACAATCTGCTGACAAGAGCACAACAAACCGACCTTCACTACTCACTAGCCAATTGCGCAGTCAAGGAAGGCTTCAACAACAACAACCATAATTCAGTGCTGACTGCTGCGCCCGTTGATAAATGTACGGAGTTCAACGTCCCGTAGCGTTTGAATTAATCGAGAGCTTGGAGCGATGAAGAAAAACTCTTTTAAGGCACCGTCAAGTTGGCCCTCCACATTCGAATTTTCTAACAAAATTGCAACCACTTACTGTGCTCGAAGTGTGCTTTACTGTGCCGATGATATTTTGAACTGTGACATTCCCATACCAAAGTTATAGGGAAAACAAGATGAGGGGCTAGCTTGACGCTTAGTGTCTCCAAAATTTTGGAAATCAGATCAATTAAAAATAGATTCTTATGCAATCTGAAGTGTGCTGAACTGTGCTGTATCAGGTTTTCCTCAAAATTTCCATATTCGGTCATTTTCCGACAAAATCCTACTGGGGGGTAACTTGACGCTCAGACCCCCGAAATTTTGGAAATCAGGTCAAACAAAAATGGGTTTTTATGCAATCTGAAGTGTGCTGAAATGTGCTGTATCAGGTTTTCCTCAAAATTTCCATATTCGGTCATTTTCCGACAAAATCCTACTGGGGGGTAACTTGACGCTCAGACCCCCGAAATTTTGGAAATCAGATCAAACAAAAATGGGTTTTTATGCAATCGGAAGTGTGCTGAACTGTGCTGTATCAGGATTTTCTCAAAACTTCCATATTCGGTAATTTTTCGACAAAATCCTATTGGGGGGCTCAAGTTAGCTCAAGTTAGAAACAAAAATGGATTCTTATGGAATCTGAAGTGTGTTGGACTGTGCTGTCAGAATTTCATTGTCCAATTACGAATTCTTCTCACCAGAAAAGAAGAAGAAAAATACAAATAAGTTTTGATTTCCATTTTCATTTTGAAGTTATTGGTAAATAGATCAGATGGACTACCATCTTAGTCTTACACAGGCCTAGACTTGCCATGGGGTTTGGGGAGGGTACCGCAGTGTTAATTCAAAAAGGTGGAAAACTCAAAATGCTGGTTCATTGAAGAAAAAGATAACCTGCAACAGTTTCTCATTATATATTGGCCAGCCAGTAGCAATGGAAACCATTGCTGAACTTTTGCTAACTTCGGAAAAAAGTTGGAATATAAGTAGATACACATGTCCTATGTAGCATAATTATTATTGAGAAGGACAAAATAGACAGATAAGGAGAATAAGTAGAGAGTGAATGATCTCTAAACATTTCCCACTTATAGTACATAAAAATACCGCGACTCCGAAGATCACATAGTAGAGGAAGGTTCTTAGTAGATCAGCTCATTTCGAAGCGAGTATTTAGTGCTAGACCATTAACTCGTCAATTCGTACATTGAAGCGCATTTCCTGATCCGTACTATAACAAAGAGCGAAACTTGAAGAAGAATTGCCGTATAGTCGTTAGCATTATTTGTCGTTTCTAGTAGCTAACAAGTTATTTCTAGTCCTTGCTCCCAGTACATTTAGAACAAGCTGAACAAGACTATAAAAACTGACTAGAGGCCAGGATTGCATAAAAAGCCCCGTTCGTAGCCATGTTTGTTGTCTCCAGTATGTCCTTACAATTTGGTTCAGCCGCTTGTCTTTTTTTCCAAGACATCTATCTAGAATCTAGAGGAAGCTGAATCACTAAGGGCTATAAGGTGAAAAAAGAAGCCAAAAAAACAACTAGAAGAAGCTAGAATTGTATTAGATAGCGTTCTCATCTTTGTTTCTGGTGTGAACTGTAAGTAACTATAATTTTGAATGGGTATTTTATTTGTGAGGGGGCAGAAGTACCTAAATAATATGATCTGAGTAAAAAATATAGGCCTGAAGCAAGTCAGAGAAAAAATAATGAGTTATTTCTCATAAATGTTTGCCTACTATACTCTGTTTCCTTTTCGTTAGAAGCACAGGAAAAGGCAGAAAAAATCGAAGACCATATAAAGCGATCATAAAATTCATAAACCATAGGCGGCCATATGTGCCAGAGGTCACTATAGCTTGTGTTATTATCTGATGGCAATTCAAATTCGAAAGTAGCCTTTTTTGTCTAAATACAAACCTAAAACTTACAGTACTCGTTAACAAAGCCATGCTTAAAATTATTTGCAAAGTTATAAATGTTGATCGTTCAGGCTCCAGGATTTCTCAGACTGGTTTAAGCTGTGCAGAACCTTAATGAAGCTCCCAAAAACGGGTAGGCAGTCACCAGGTAATAAACAACTTGGCCCTTTTCTATCAGAATGTACGGGGTCTGCGCACAAAGCTGAAGGATATTTGTGTGCCCTCTGTGTTTTTGCAGTATGATGTGGTGCTTTTATCAGAGACTTGGCTTGCCTTAGAGATAATGGATTCTGAAGTTTCTTGCATGCAATTTATTCTATATCGAACTGACAGATATAAGGACACGAGTCATAGTCATAGGTAACGTGGTGGTGGTGTTTTAGCTATCAGAACAGAGCTATTCCTAACAGATTGAATTGCTCCAAACAGTTGGAAATGTTCCAAACATTTCGAACTGCTCTGCTCGGACCTAACCCAAATTAACTCAAACATAAAACGCACAGATAAAAGTTAAAAGCGAAAAACGGTTGTTACCACGTTGTCACTGAAGTACCACGTTGTCACTGGATTAAAAAATTTACTGATTTCGCAATCCTTGCAACCATTGGAGTATAATTCCTTCCTTGTTCCATTAGAGACTACCTACAGCTGTTGAGCATATTTTTGTTAGGGTTAAGGTAAAATACGAGTATTTTGTGTTTGGATGTGTTTATATGGAGATGGAAGATGGAGGTAAGCATTAGGAGTTGTAATAGCAATAGGATTTTTTTTTTGTGTTATGGGTTTGTTCTTGGGATTGTCACAGTATAATTATGTTTCCAGCATAGTAAATTAATCAAAGGATCTCTGATTTTCTAACCTCTATATGTCTGTGTCAGTGTGATCCTTTAAACATCCTGTGATAACTACCATCCTCCGGTTCCGCTTGAATCAAATTTGTTGTTTGATAGTCAGTATATGATGACATTGAAAATGAAGTTCAATTTATAACTTCAGTAAAGCCGATTATGGTGGTCTAAACAATTATTTATTGTGCTATCCATTCTGTAAGTTGACTTTTTTGACCTACGTCCATGTCACTTACAGTCCGGGTCAAAATAGTTATTTGTGTACCAAGGCCGTAAAGTTGATTTTTTTTTGCCGAATCAGAAATTTGCTTGGCCTCGGCTACGCCTCGGCCGCAAATTTCAGGTGAGGCCAAAAAAGATCATTCGGCCGAGGTGCACACAAAATTTTTTAGGCGAATGTTTGTTCTTGAAAAAAGAAGAAAATTCAACAGTAGCTTTAAACTTCATTTATCAAATAAATAATCCATCAGCAAAGATAGGTAGATACACAATTATTAATAACAAAAACTACGATAAAGAGACTGTGTTTATAGAAAATTGCCGACCTTTTCGCCTGGTATCTTACATTGAGCTTTTTTAAAAAAGCAATCAATTTTGAAAACTTGCTGATATTTTAGGTATTTCTGACTATAATTGTTAATTTTAACATAGAGTATAACATAGGTGGACCTGAAGACCATAATGCTGAGGATTATTTAATTTTGGCATTTTCCGAAAAAAATGCAAGAAAATACTTCTCCCAAATTTTAAATCATGCGCCGTTTTTTTTAAACATTTTATGTGAAAATTTGAATAGAGCTAAAATTAAAAACTTGGTTTCATTGTAGTTGCTAACTAATAGTTTATTGGTTGTGTTGATGGTTACGGCACTGCGTTTCCGATTGTTTGTTTATTTTCACCAAAGTAGGGACCGTAAAGTAAAAGCGGCCGTGAAGTAAAAGCGGCCGTAAAGTAATAAATCAAATGCGGCCGTGAAGTAAATGCGGCCGTAAAGTGAATGCGGCCAAAAAAGATATACTTTAGGGATGATATTGAATCCGTAAAACTAATCTTTTTGTGACAGTCGCCTAAAAAAGTTACTTTTTTGACCGGGCCAAAAAAGTTACTTTTTTGACCGGGTCAAAAAAGTGTTGATATGAAAGGTGAAAATTGCTTGGTTCATATCTCTGTCAAAATAATGTCACAGAAACACTCGACTTCTTAAATAAAAAACCCAAAACCAATTAAGAATACAATTTTATTGAAACAAATATAAAACACCTAGACGTCAAAAAGTTGAAATTACCATAAACAGATAGGTAATAATATAAAAATGAGATACTTCATAGTTATTTACTTTGTAATTTTGAAAGTAAAAGAATAGTTATTTATGTATCAAGGGAATTATGAGGGTGTTAATACCCCAGGGCAAAGTTGCCCGTGGGTATTAACACTTGATAATTCCCGTGGTACATAGATAATTTTATTTCCTACTGAATTTACTGTATTTTGTCCATTTTTATAAAGAAATAAACCATAAACCAAAATGTCTATTTTTTGTCGAAGTCACACCTAAAAGGTAAAAGCGGGAGTTAAGGAAATCCTTAATTCCCTTGGGAGTTATGATATCCTTAACTCCCTTGGGAGTTAAGACCCTGTTTATGATTATCGTAACCAAGGTATTATATGTTTATAATAGTTCAGTAGGAAATAAATATTTTTATATCCTACTGAACTATTAAAACCATATAATACCTTGGTTACGATAATCATAAACAGGGTCTTAACTCCCAAGGGAGTTAAGGATTTTCATAACTCCCAAGGGAGTTAAGGAAGGGAGTTAAGGATATCATAACTCCCAAGGGAGTTAAGGATTTCCATAACTCCCGCTTTTACCTTGAATAGGTAACACTTTGACAAAAAATAGAAATTTTGATTTATGGCTTATTCCTTTATAAAAATAGACAGAATACAGTAAATTCAGTAGGATATGAAATTATCTATGTACCACGGGAATTATCCGGAGTTAATACCCACGGGCAATTGGTGTCCCTCGGGCCGGAGGCCCTCGGGACACAAACGTTGCCCTGGGGTATTAACACCTGCATAATTCCCTTGATACATAAATAACTATTACAACTAGTCACATTTAACACAGGGATATTTTCCTGTATTGAAGAACTTAGAATATCAGAATGATATTTATTATCTTGAATGTACGGTAGCACAAAAAATATCATATGCACCTCGACTTGTAGCGTGTACTTTTTTGGCCTCAAATGCTTGCAAACCTCGGCCCTACGGGCCTCGGCTTGCAAACTGCATCCTCGGCCAAAAAAGTAACACTTACAAGCCTTGGTACATAAATAACTATATTAGATTAGAACTGGATCGAATTGTTTTCTCTTAAGAGTTTTGATCGTAGATTTTATGATATAAGTATTGGCGAAGGCTGTAGATTTATTTCTACCTAAATATGTAGCTAAAAAATCTTCCTTTCTAGTCTGCATGGTTTTCGCCAGAATTAAAAAGGAAGGTTGTTACTAAGAAGACTGCGCATAGGAGATACAAGGGAACTGGTCTCAAATGTCATTAAACTGAGTTATTTGCTTTGCGGACGGAATATAAGGAGCTAGTTTATTATAGTGGGTATTAGTGTTGAAAATCAAATAAGTGAGAATGTGAGGAATTTCTGGAAGCTTGTCCGGTATAAAACGCATAGCAAGGGTCATATTCCTGGGACTATGTCCAGAGGAAGGAGCATGCTGAAGGAGATAAGGAAATATCCTGAGCTTTTGCAACCCATTCCAACTCAATTTATAGTAATTTTAACGGTGTGAAAAGTGATGAACTGGTTGGAAGGAGAAATTCCCAGAATGATCTAAATGACTCAATAAATATGATCGGACTAACCTTCGACAATTTGTTGAATGTTGAAAAAAGGCTGGTCCGCTGGTCCTGATATGATAGCAAACTTGATGCTTAAAGAGTGTGCTGCTTCACTGTGTGAGCCATTGCTGTTTTTGTTTAATAAATCTCTTAGTCTGAGCATATTTCCAGATAGATGGAAACATTCATTTGTCACCCCCATTTTGAAAAAGGATAATTACTCTGATATTGCCAACTACAGGCCTGTTTGTTGGTATACAATCAGCAATATCCAAGGTTTTGCAGAAAATGGGTTTGCGAGTCCTGGAGGAAGTCTTCGGAAACATTATTGTTGAGCAATAGCATGGGTTTGTGAATGGTCGTTCTACAGTGACTAACCCTTTCACATATTCAAACTTCATCGCGGGCACTTTAGATAATGGTTATGAGATGCATTCCATATATATAGATAAAACCCACTAATCCTTTGTCTCACTTCAAATGGGAGAGCCCTAGAGAAAAGGAAATTTGCCTTCTTCATCAGTGATGACATCAGAGGTTCTTCTTAGTTGGTTCTAACTATACAGATGTCAGTAAGGCTTTTGATTTGCTGGACCAAGGGGTATCGTTGAATAAATTTGAAGAGATAGGGGTTTATTTTTGTCGTGGTTGTCATGTTATCTACAGGTTCATACTCAGCAAGTCAGGGGGAGTGACTTGTTTTTTCTCCTCTACAACAAATGTAATATTAGTTGTCTTAGTTGTCCCGAAATTATTTCTTCTCCTTGGTGGACAATATAGACAATTGAAATCTAACTACTCACTTTTTGTAGATGATCTTGAAATAACTCGTATAATCGTATGATGAAGACTGTGGAGGGACATAAACTTTTTGATGGAGTTGTGTACAGCAACTTGAAATTGAATGCTGCAAAGTGTGTTTGTTTGTCTTTTTCTCGTCGTAAGAATGCTGCTGAGTGCTCGTACAGAATGGCTGAGAGTGTGTTGGACAAAGTGGATGTTGTGAACGACTTGGGAGTAATAATGGATGGATCTTTAAGCTTTGATCGGCATTTGGAGGATGTCGTCAGCCGGGCTAACCGTATGCTGGCACTGGTGCATAGAATGTCTGATGATTTTCAAAACTTGGAATGTATTGTCAAGTTATTCATATTAGAGTTTAGGTCAACAATCTGGTCTCCTTTTTATGAGGTTCTCAACCACCGAGTTGAGGCTGTGGAGAACAAACTCTTGAGGTATCTTGGTTATAGGATGGGTCAGAGGGGTTTGCAGATGGATGTAAGTGCGGTAGGTGGGCTTCATGGGCCCCCTGAAGAATTATAAAACATTTCAGGATCTGTGTTTTGTTTTTGGGGTGAATAGTGTTCTTGATTCCTCTTACATTTTGTCAAGTTTTACCTTCTTCCAAGAGAATTGAGAGGAGGTCACCTTTTGTCTTCCGCACTGAGTAATACTCGACATGCTCAGAAAATGCCTTTAAGAAGGTTGGTCTCATGTGTAAACCAATATATACCGCTATCGAATTTTCCGGTGTTTCCCTCAATAGTTTCAAAACTAAGTCAAGGCAGAATTTGTTGATTAATTTATAGTTGTATTGTTATTGTATATCTGAATTTTAAGATATTTTTATATGTGAAATGGTGTAACCGTTGAAAGAATAAATAAACAAATTAATAAAAATAAATCACTAGTAGAAAAATAAAGCAAACCTAATTTTTGTCGGCCTTGGGAGGACCCTAATGGTATTCAGTTACAAAAAATTCGTCACTAGTATGAAATGCCCTAGAAACCAAAAACTTTCGTCATACACTGAAATCCTCTGTAGCCTGTAAGTTTTCTAAGTTCAGTAGGCAAAGCAATAATAGTATATCACATTATAAGTGTAGAAAGTGACAAATTTCACACAAGTGTTTTTTCGCGCAAGGCGGCAGCTGAGTACGAAAATTACACGAGTGTATGAAACTCACAAGTAATATACACCATTTTTCCTACGACCAGAAACCGATTTACACCAATTTTCTCTTATTTTATTTCTTTCCATTTTCAACACACGTGTGAAAGTAGATACTTATTTCAACCCACGTATTGAAAGTACCTAAATTGTGATGTGAATCCCAAATAATGTCAACAGTATTTTCCACACGTGTGCTGAAAGTACTTTACTATGTGTATTGAAAGTACTATTGAGGTATCCTGGGTACCTATATAGGAGTTCTTTACTAATGTCAAATGTGAAATGGGCAAGTGTAAGACTCGTTGTTTTGTTACACTATTGTATTTGTAATTTTTGTAAAACACCTGGTTTATGCTTCTGTTAAATTTACGTATTATACAATGCTCACCCTGTTTTCGACCCTTTTTTTGGGTGTTTTAATTTATAATGCTCCTAACGAAAAAGAAACAGAGTAGGTATAGCTAATGAGTCTTACCTAAAAGCCGCTTTAACTTTAGTCCATTTGGATACTTTCGATTGTTTGTCACATTTCGAATCCCTTCGAACTTTTTTTTCTCTTTCTGCTAGAAGAGCAACATCTGCAACTTGTTTATCTGGTCCTGAACCACTACGATGCCTTTTCAGTAACGAATGACGTTCAGCTTTGTATTTTGGGAGATCCTTAAAAAGAATCTTATTTGAAGTACGCTTAATTATTTGAAGCATATTTTAGACCGAATGAGTGAACAGTGAACGTTTCGATTTCCGCACTCAAACTTCAGGAGTACAAAAGAATCGAAGGAAGCAATCAGCAAAATATTATATAAAAATACAATTTGAAATCCAAATTATGAGGCCCCATAGTAAAAAGCATGCTGGTTGGCTCTATGCCAACTATACTCAAAATCCTTTTAGATTCAAAATCACCTCTGCAGAAGATGATGTTCTATGCAAACTTTGCATTTCTTCTCTAACCATGTAAAATTTGACATTATAATTAGAATTAAATTTTGTCTGATTGCCCGATTCTCAGCTCTTAAGATGACTGTTATTAAAAAAATCAATAATTTGGTAAATATGCTGGAATGATATCATCAAACAAATTACCTTATTTTTAGGATCTTGTAACATGGAATCCAATATAGCTTCAGCAAAAGCAGTATCCCTTTCCAAATCAGGATAGTCTTCTTCAGCCGCGTCTGGATTTAGAGTCAATCTTTCGAGCTGATTAAGGTGTTCCAAATCACGAATTCTCCTATGAAGCTTTACGTTTTGATCTCTCAACTCTAACATTTGATCCATCAATTTGTACAATCTCTCCATATGATCGAACGCTTCTTCTGTAACTATGGCTGGAGCAAAAGCCGATGAAGTTCTGGAATAAAGACTTTTGTGCAACGATTCGATGTATTCGAAAAGTTCTTTGTCTTTGTCACTGGACCTCTCAGTTTTTTCTTTGTCCTCAGCATCTTTTCCTGGACCCGGCGTTTTCGGATAAGTTGTGTGGACATTATCCCATGGATCTGGTGGTGGGGTCGGTAGTTTGATGCTACGTTCAAGTTTGGATTTCTTTGATGGCTTTTTCGTTGTTTCATTCGGAGAATTGACGCCTTCGTTCATTGTTGATTCTTTGTTATGGATTTAGTAGCATTTTGTTTGGGTTTTATTGATTTTTAGGTGACTGATCGTCATGATAAAAGTAACTAATAGAAACTTTCAAATTTTTAAATGTAATGTTTTCCTGTTTTCATTGCCATATTCTACTCTTGTTTGTGCCATGCTTAAAATAGATATTCAAGTACCCACCTACTACAGTACTTTTCGAATCAATAAACAAATAAATAAATGAAATTTGATAGTTTTATGAAGAAAACATCAAAAGTGAGCAAAGAATGTCCTGAAATGGTTCAACATATTTGTATATCACTAAACAACAAAACTATATCACTTGTTGAAGGAATAAATTAGAATAAAAGAAATGAGCTTTGCTTGTTTTCTTTGGAATGAGAAAATTCAATTATGATGAAGAGATCTAAAATATCAGACTAACCCAACCCAACCCTATATTTCTTGAACCTTAAGCCCTAACGTATTAAGTTACGGAATTAATTATTCTAGCCTTAATTGCTTAATGCCATTATTAAGGATTTAAACTAATCGTTGGAATAATACTTACATGAAACCTAAAAATATTCAGCTCATGTAAAATGATAACATGTATCTAATAAATAGATAAATGCGTTCAATTATAAAGCAATTATAAAACATTTTTATTGATGACCTTTTTAAAGGATATGTAAATTGCCAAATGGCTAATTGCCTAATTTCCACATGTAAATACAATTGTTTACAGTCGATTTTTTATGTGTTTCTGAACCAAAATTTGTTTTTTTAAGTTGCATCTGCAGGATTAATTCCAGTTTGAAAATATCTGGAAATTCCAGATATATATAAAATAAATATCGAGCTTTTTTCTACAAAACGTCTGGAAATTTTTCTTGGAAAAATTATACAGAAATGAACATTTCGAAGATTACAAAATTATTAAATAGAAAACAAAAAAATTATAACATCAGGGAGAAGTTCACACTCACGCATGACAATGTACCATAGACAGACAGAAGAACAAGCACCAGAAAAATAGGTCGAAAGTGGATATTGAAACAAAATAAAAGAAGAGTCTACAGACAATAATTTAAAATGCTTAAAAGAAAGGATAAATACCAGAACACGCATTACGCCTTTATGAAATAAGTCAGAGAACGCATATAAAAAAATACTATGAAAAACATGAAAAACTAAAACTCAATAATAAAATCAAAACCAAGAATAAAAGAAATCAAGAAATATAAAACTTCAGAAACTAGTAGGTAAAACTGGCACACAAATTTACTTGTTTAAGTTTTCAAAAACAGGTATTTATTTATATAAAAACCAGAAAACGCAGAAACATTTTAGATTCTATGCGGTTTTCACAATCACTTTTGTTATCCGCACACAAAATATTACTACATTAACTATGACTTCATCCTAAAAAAGCACGTTTTTTATACAGAAAAATATAATAATTGAATTTCCCATACAACCGAATCTATTTTTATTTACATGTTGAACGCGGCGTATCAAAATATCTCGGCGTCGCGACGCGTGTCTTAACAGTGACTAACCGACGTCCAACGTCGGTTTTAAAACCGCAATCGCGACTCGCTAGACATGTGAGCATGTGTCCGTTTCAATTAGGAAACTTGGTACTTAGATTAGAGTGCGTTTTCCGAAAATAAATTTGCCGCTAGAAATGTAACGGAATTGCATTAATGTCGTTTGGTTTTCTGGAACAATTTCCTGGTGCTTTAATCAATTTGTTATCTTTATTAATGCATTATGTAGGTATTGGTTCAATTTTGGATTTATATCTACTTCAAAGCTATCGAATTATCGAAAATCTTGAATCCTGCGATGGAACGTACAGCCTTTTTCTGCAAGACAAATAGCACATTCAGGAGGTACTTGCTTGAGGCCTCAGAATGGAATTCCATATCGGGAGTGCGACTCAAATAAGGCAAAATAGACCGTCCGCGCCATTTCAGGTCCCAACTCGCCGCTCACGGCCCTCACAGCAAAACACCCCGATGAAAACGTTCTGCTCAAGCTCAAGATGTGATCTTCGAAACGAAGGTCCATATCCACCCAAACGTTCAGAAACTTAGCAGTGCAACTGACCCCAACCAGGGAACTACCCAATTCCACCTAATACCTACCAGGCCATCCATGTTGCACCTGAAACCAAGCACAGTACGTGGTCTTGTCAAAATTTAAAACAAGTCTGTTAGTGTCACACCATCGCTGCAAGTCGTGGGAAATGGCATGCCCCAAAACATCAACACTAGGACCATGCCAAACTATTAAGGTGTCAGAAATTGTAAAGTTTCCAGAGATGTCAACACGGGCGAGGTCGCTAATATATAGAAGGAAAAAAACTGGCCCCAAAACAGAACCCGGAGGCACTCCACAATCAATCAGCATACTTGAAGACTATTCTTCCTCTAACGCCATAACGTTCGAGCTTGGACAGAAGTATTTCATGATCCAAACAATCGCAAGCCTTGGATAGATCTCAAAACACCGCCGCCGTCGCCTGCCTCCGATTCATGTTAAAATAGACTATACTTAGAAGATTAAAAACAGCGTCATAGGTTCTCATCGAGTCCCGGAAACTAACTGATTGCAAAAGAAACTGCAAAGTCAAGCATTCACCAACTTTTCTATGAGCTTAGACAACGTTGGCCTTCCAGCCTTTTTAATCGGGGTCTCTGAGTTTGCTAATCGCATCTTTCTCCCAGGCTCAGGGAGCATCTTATCTGTAGAGTCGTCCATGGTTAGCCTTCAGGGCCTCCAGTGGGCAGTGATGTTATTATTTCGGGGGCATCTGCTGCCTCAGCTTCATAAATAGGTCCTTAGGTGTGGTAGTTTCTTACCTGACGCCTTCGCCTTGCTTCTTCCGAGTCATAAGCCGTTAGGTTGCGCAGCTCAAGATTTTGGTGAGTTGCCAGGCTTCCAAATAACTTCGTCGCTTTTTTGAGTACCTATAAACTCTAGTAGTGACGTCCACTGTAGTTCTCTTTGAAGGTCGACATTGCGTATAAACCAGGGTGTATCCGCAGCCAGCCATCCCCAATACTTAATTTTCTATTGTAAGCAGTCTTCGCAACACTACAAACACTTCCCTATGTGGGGTAGGAGTATGCTAGTTGGGCCTTTGTGACGGCTTGAATTATTTGTGTCGTGGTTTTGAGACACAAAGCTCTCCCCCTTCCCAATATTGGGTAAAGTTGGAAGATAGCTGCCCTAGTTTTCATCTTGGTGTTGGTGATGTGAGGCCTTTATCCAATTATCCATATGGAGGCCTAGGGACTTTATTTCTGTGCTCCATTGAATTCTGCCAAATTTAACTGTAAGTCCTAGTGCCATTCTGCATTTTTGGAATACTATATTGCTTGTGTCTTTGTAATGTTGATTTTAATCTTTTTCTTCTTACACCGTGCTTCTATTTCCTCGATGTTGCTCTGGAGTTTTCTACTTATGATATTGGTGCTAGTACCTCTTGACAAGATGACCGTGTCATCAGCGTATAGAGTCGTCATAATGTGGGGAGCCGTTGGCATGTCACTAATGTACCGGGTGTTCCACCTAAGGAGGTAACCGAACTAGCTATATCCCAGACACTTAACACTAGAACTTTGGAGAAAAAAAAATTATTGATGAAAGAGGCAAAGAGAAATTGCTGGAAAATATTTTCAAGTATGTAGGATGGCCGCTAGGAGGTCGCAGTTGTAATGTCAAAAAATAAAAATAGAATTTTCTCGAAAAAATATCCGAATAGGATAATAGAATAAATATCACCATTTTCATCTTTGGTACTTTCTGAACAAAACACCTCAGGTACACATTTTTGTCCGATGTGAAATAAAGTGGTGGGGGGAGCCTGATCTTTTAACTCACTGTACTTTTAACATTACAGTTGCGACCCCTAGCGGTTATCCTACAAACTTGAAAATAATTGCCAGTATTTTCTCTTGGTCGCTTTTATGATTTTTTTTTTCAAAGTTCGTTTTTGAGATATAGCCGGTTACGTCCTTAGGTGAAACACCGGGTAAAAACTATTCAAAATTGGCCCTAGCACTTTAATTGTTTTGGTGGTGGACAATTACTTTCCATTTCTAACTGAAATGTTCTATTAAGATAGTTAAGTATAAGCTGGCAAGTTTTAGTTGGTAAGTACCATCTTATAGTCTTTTCAATCAGTCTGTGGTGCCATAGTTTATCGAAGGCTCTTTCAATGTCTAAACATATGGCGCCTGTGGCCATTTTCTAGTTAAATCCTTCTGAGATATATTCTGTTATGGAAGAAGACCCGTTGGTCTATAGTTATCTGGGAAGGCAGCATTCTTTCCAGGCTTTCTAATTACAATGATACCTATGATTTTTTCCGAGCATTTGAGAAGTAGTTGTTTCTGAATATAGAGTAGACCAAATTTGCTATTGCTATATGCTAGTAGTTCCTTTACCATTTTTTTACATACTCCATCTGTTCTTGGAGATTTGTTAATTTTGATTATTTTGATTTGTTTGTGTATTTTTTTGGGGGTAACATAATTGGTGGAAATCTTGGGTGTCAGTGTATTTTTCAGGCTTCTTATAGCTTCATTAATTTCTTCTGTCTGTTCTGAGTCTTCGTTATGGATTACATTTTCAACAAAAGTGGCTTCTAAGGTATTGGCAATACTTCTGCTTTTTCGGACTCTGAGTAGGCTATACCATTGGCCTATGTAGTTTTTGAGTTTTGTATTTAATTTGTGAGTGTTTGTCAAGTATATTTTTTCAGATTTCTGGTTTTTGCAGATAGAGTATCTTCTTCTTAGCCTCCAGCTTTCCCTATAATTTGATTTTGCAAGTAGAAATAGGAAGGTCTTTTATAGATCCTTTCCTGATTGTCTTAGTGGAAGAATTTATTTTCATATAATTGCAAAATTACTTGTTGGTAGGATTCTACTGCTGCTTCAATGCCTTCATTTGAAGTTATTTTTGGGAGAGGGAAGTTGTTTTTGTAGGCGGTCCAATTTTTAATGGTTTTCTTGATTGTATTTTTGGTCTTCTGTTCATGTCCTAGTTTTAGGATCATTATCCGAAGTACCTACCTTCATCAATAGTTATTATCTCGGAATTGTGGAAAATATTTTTTAATACTGCAACTTGAGGGTTCCCATTGGTACTTGGGAGAAAAGTTGAATTGTAGTATTCCAAAGTCTTGATTTGCAGTTAACATCACCAATAATTATTTTTGAGAATAATTGATGCTGAGAAGGTTGTTTATATCGGGTCTTAAAAAAAAAAACAATCAAAGATTTTCATGGTTTTCTAAACGTATGTTAAAGGCTTGTTTTAAGGCTCGTTTTCACGGTGATAGCTTTTGCGATAGTCGCTGTCTCGATAGCAACTATCACATAAACTATCAACATGTAAATAACCCAATAGTAGCTATCATGCTGACGCGACAGTGCTGTCGACTATCTCGCTTGACCAGGTAGTTGTACGTACTTTCGTGATAGGTAATGGTTTTTTCAATAGCGGCCAGATGGCTGGGGATCAGAATATCAAAAATTATTTCAATAAAATGATGAACAAGCGGTTTGATGAAATAAATTTTTGGGAAAATATGAAAGGGTTCCATGTCTATGAAAGAAAAGCTCGCCCAGTTTCGAAAACAGGGTAAAGAGGGATCATGCTGGAGAAATTCAGCTGCCCTTATCAGGACTTTCTACAATTAAAGAACTTAGGAAGAAAATTAGGAGCATTAGATGTTCATTTAATCAAGTAGTGGCTGAAAGAATAACGGGCGCTGGTAATTTATATAAACCAAAACTTATATGTTTTTTTGTATATGGTTATCTCACCCATATCTTCTTTTTTTTACTTTTAACTTTAATTATTCTATCAATAGTATCAATTATAGCAACCACCGCAGCAGTTAACTGGGTATCGGCCATTTTGCTATTGATTACTGTCACGATATTTTTTGGTACGTGTAGACACCTCACTTTCATGATGGGACTATCAAGGCTACTATCATGAGAGCGCTTTCATGAGAGTACTTTCACCGTGAAAATGAGCCAGCAATATTTTTCTCAATGAACTCTTTAATGTCAAAATGTCATGTCAAAAATCCTGACCAATAAAGAAATAATTTAATGTTAATGTAAATGTTAATTTGAAGACTCGTTAGCTTCTTCTAGTAGTACTTGCCTGGGAGCCTTATACGCTGTAGTCACCAGTATCTTTTTGCCGTTGATTGTAGCGTCAATCATCAGATGTCCATTACTGGAATTATACTACTCTAGTGGTGTGTGACATCGTTTTTGACTATTATGGCCACCCCATTCTGTCGTGGGTTGGGCCCATCTTGCCTATATACTACATATCCTTGGAAGGATCTTCTGTGAACCTTAGTTGTTTTGGTTTCCTGCAACGTCAGCAGTTAAGGTTGATGTTCCTCCAAGAAAGCTCGATTTCTGACTTGCGTGATCTGAACCCATCAACGTTCCACGAAACGATGTGAAACATTAACGTTTTTTGTTAAAGTATGTGTCAACAGCCTGCAGGATGACTGGCATTAAGTTCTTCAGTAGATCAGCAATGTCACTATTTTTGTTCGCCCTTATGTAGAGGCAAAACAATCAATTCCAGGCTTCGAGCCTGGAAACGGAAACGCAGAAACTGGGAACGCACCAGAAGACCACGAGGTATTCATGGCCTAGTCCAGCGCATCCAAGGCGCACAGTGGCATAGGTACTCAGCAGTATCCCATATGACGTCAAGATATCGCCAGCAACATATAGTATTCATTACCTAACTCATCGAGGAAGTTTATATAAAAATCTCCTGCTGGTATTATCTTGGAGCCAGACGCAATTCGCGAAAGCACCACATTCAATCCCTCCAGAAAACCCCAACTCTGGACAACGGAGACCTAAATACAAAGAACGTAGGTACAGGAGCGGGTTTATAGTAGCAAACGGAGAGTTTAAACGAAAATTCCCTCGCCAGCTGTAATCCACTAAACCCATCAACATTGATAACAGCACTAAGCTCCCAAACGCTGGCAGATCCCCCCACAAAAATCAAGGAGAGAGTTATTTCGACAGAAGATCGATACTGGCTATAGCCATCAACAGAAAAGCACTCATCAGGTCAAAGCCAGTGCTCAGTGAGCAAAACAAGATCACGAAAGTCTACTTTTTCCAAAAACACGTAAAGTTCATCACATTTATGTCACTGAACATTATATAGTAGCACAGAAAGATCATTCCCACATATCTACATTACTATTCTCAGCATCAGTATTCCTATTTGTCATATCGATAGCATCTCCATCTATTACATTATCAATAATTGCAGAATTTTGCCTCTTCTTCCAAAGTCGCTGTTTAGTGTTGGGCCTCTTACAATTTCATATCTTGCTTCAGTTGCTCTCCTGCCAGCCCTAAAGCTAAATCTTCCTTCTAGCTCTGCCAAAGCGCACCCAAACTCTTCTCTGCTCGAAAAAAGTCTCGCCCTCAAGGCATGGTTCTCCTGTTGTAACTCCCTTAACTGATTCTTTAGGCGAAGACAGGTGATAAAGCACCAGTATTCATGGGTCTTGGTGGCTTAGTATTTTAATGGAAACTTCAATTTAGAGTCACCCTCTCTTGGAGGCAACTCTATTTCAACCTTGAAAATAAAACATGAATTTCTCACCTATGAATTCAGCAGAAATATTCCTATAGATTAAGAAGTGAATCTCAGTTGAACAAAAAGTTCATCTGCACATAATGGACTACGGTGTTTTTTTCTAATAAATTTCTCCTAAATATGAATCTCATGAGATTGTCTCCTTGTGGATATAATATGGACACAAGATCAAGTTCTGAACTTAAATAAAACCATTTTTGTTTTCTGTTCTAAAATTGTGTGGAAAATTCGGCGTTGCGAACACAAAGCCCATAGCAAAAATCATTTTAGTATATTGAACCAGAGAAAACTTCGAAATCTTCCATTAAATCCACATAGGTACATCAATTTCTATGGTGTGCCCATATTTCGACGGAAATCAAGTAATAATTATTTCAGGGGTTTTTGAACCACCCATATGTCGAAAATACTTTGTAAACAAAAATAACCCTCAAAACATGAAATGCCAAAAATGTCATCTTTTCTAAATTTATTATCTTTGATTTGAAACTTATGGAGCTTCACACCACAGAAAGTAGTAGATGTTTCGAGGATTACTTAAAGCAGGCAGGTATAAACTTCCTGCAAACTGCTTATTGAAAATAAATTTAATTGAACATTTTATTCTAGGTTGGGGCCTTGCCTACAAATTTCTAATCGGAGTTTCATGCATTGCTCATTTCATACGAGGAGTAAGTTTTGTGGCCATTGCATTTGCGATAGCGTTATCCAGCTGTAATCCAGTTTATTATATGGGCAAAATTAACGCTACGAGAATGTTCATTGCATATTTTGTTGGTAAGAACTTTAGGGTCAGTATTATACTAAACTACACACATAGATACTTATATTCTAGTGTTCAAAATTGTTTTCTTAAAGATACATTATGTATAGTTCCTAGTATTCCCGATCTTCAGATATCTCTGGTGATTCCAGGCATCCTTTTTCCAATCCTTTGCTCTTTTTATTTCTTAGTCTACATCACTTTTCCAGTGGCCTCGATGACATGTAGTTAAAGATATTCTCCATATCCCAAAAGTCCATTCCGGTTGCTTCCAGCATTTTTGTGATTTTATCGTTTAGTGACCATAGGACCTCTAATATGATCCTTCCTTCCTTCCTGAGTATTTACGTCGATTTTTGATTGCTTCATCTAGATTTCCGTTATGTAAGAGCTATATTCTAAACATTCAATGAACCTGTTTTAATTATTGTACTGTAAGTCAATTCTAGATTCCGTTGTTCTTCTATGGCTATCACGTCTTCAGTTTTTGTTGAATTCAATTGCAATCCCATTTTCCTTATCTTCCTAGGAATTTATATATTTCAGATCACTGGGATATGTGGTGAAGTGTTCTTAGGGGGAGGTACTACCTCTGGGGCAGATTGACAATACCACGTAATTCGAAAAAAAGAACTAACCTGAATATGGAGACACTGCAATATCCCAAAGCAACAAGCTAAAACTACTGAGCATTTTGATCTATCCCATTGCAACATACCTATGCCTCTGAGACTTGGACTTCAAAAGTTGGCAACTGAAGAAAAATAGATGCTTTTGAAATGTGGGCTTACAGAAGAATGCTCCGAATTTCGTACACAGAACATCGTACCAACGTATCAATTCTTAAGCAGCTAAAAGTCACTACAGACTGAATCAAAATAAACCCAGTCATACCTAAGGTACTTTGGACACATTTCAAGAAGAGCAGACGGATTGGAAAAACTTATCGTCGAAGGAAAAATCAATGGTAAACGACCAAGAGCAAGGTCTCCGACGAGATGGGTAGATCAAACCAAAGAAAATATTATCCATAGTCTGAAAGAAGTTCAGGAAAGAGAAAGATGGAGAACCACAATCCCAGCAATTAAGATATGATGTCACCATAGTCTCTCGAGAGTCAACGGGCAGGAAGAAGAAGATTCCAGATCATAATAATCTTGATCTATACCTACTTGATCGACAGCATATCTCAAAGAATATGGACTGTGTTGAGCGATAAATTAAACCATATTTTTGCAACTTTTCTCACTCATCAAGATTTTGTTCCAATTTTACTTTAGCAAGAGATAGCATCTCTCCTGAAGCCCTTCAGTTGGCGTTAACTTCTTTTTGGTTTTGCTACTTTGGTGGACTTTGTGTTTTGCTTCACTAAAAAAGCTACCAATGCTAGTGTTTCCTATCAATTCCTATAACTTTTGTAGTAGGACATGTGGAATGACTTTCTTAATGCCACAAATAATGTATAGAGTTCTTAGTTATTTGCTAGGTTTTTTTCCATCACCTGGGGTCAATCTTTAAACTGCAAAATAAGCCTCGTGTCCTATTTTTCTATTCTCTATATACAGACCGGACCAACCTACTAGACACATAGAGAGTAATAAGAGGAATTAGCTTTTACCCAGTTTAAGACGAATCGAGGCGGTGCCGCCGAAGCTGAGAGCCAAGCTACCGAAGATGCACGAATTTTAATAACATGCAGAGACGATCAATCGATCAAAGATCAACCGTGACGATTCCGTAGTGACAGAGGTAGAGTCAACTAGTCCCATTGAGGCTTATGTGTCTAGTAGCCTGATCCTGTTAAAGTTCGATCTGTAATGCCTATCAACAAATATCCGTTCAAGAAACAAATATATCGACCAATCCTAGAATTACATTTTCCAGGTTGTGGATTTGGTGGTCTAGCAGGAAACTCCTTAGGCGATCGCCATGGCAGAAAAGACTACCTTATCTACAGTTATTTGTGCATTTTTGCTTCCGCGTTCGCTGCAGCTTTTGCCTTTAATGTCAATGTGGTGATTGTAGCAGTGATGTGCTTAGGAGCAGGGTAAAATAATCATCCAAGATAATAGAAATTGTTTATTTATTCATCATTTTTGTAGATTGGAAGTAAATGCAACACAAACAAGGCTTCTAGTCATTGAAATTCTCACTAAAGAAAAAAGAGGCTTTTGGATAGCATTTTGTGAGTTATTTTGGTCATTGGGCTATTTATTAACAGCATGTGAGTAATTAAATTAAAAAATACATCGAAACTTAATCCTTTCGTTGTAGTTTCGCTAATATTCTTCAGAACATCAACCTTTTTGAATTTTGGATCTCCCACCCAGCCTCCCCCATTTTGGCGAGTTATGTTTGCGATCAGTGGCGGAATAAGCCTTACGATGGCTTGTGTATTGAATGTGGTCGAAGAAAGCCCACGGTATTGGATAAGTGCTGAAAGAAGCTTTGTGGCTTACTTAATTTTAAAAAAATCTTATGCCGTTAATATGTCGAAATTTGAAAACGATTTCAAGGTAATTTTTAGTCTTTTTAGTCTATGCTTTTTATTAGTTTTCTTTAGACTAAAGAAGATGACATAAAATTTCTTATATCGCCTTACGGCCTATATTATCGCGAGCCAGAACATATTTCTGACCGAATCAAGAGGTTTTTTTGGAGACTCTGGAAAAGTATACGAATTATGTTTTCGAAACATTTTTGCTGGCTGACGTGGGGTTTGATGTTAATCAAAATGCCCATTATAGTACTAGGGTGAGATATTTTTTTAACAGTCAAACACTCAATTGAAATTCTTATTTCAGACCTCATCAACTCAACGTAGCTCTTGGAAAATATTTGATTTTTGACATAGACCACAAATACGATGGTTTGGATTTTGTGTATCCCATAGCTGACCACACGAACGACACGTCCTTTTGTAATATCAACGAGCAAAATGTTTTATTTAACAAATATTTTCTTATTTTGGGAGTCGCTACTCTGCCTGGCCAGATATGCTGTATCCTTATGATTGATCGGTTGGGTAGAAAAATTATTTTGGGTACGTATGTGTGTTTGAGATTACATGAATGATTATTTAAGTTGTTACAAGAAGGGAGAGAGTGGTGTATATCTATCTTTTTACACCTTGTTGTAGAGAGCTGACATGAAGCCTCACTTTAGAGATAGAAACTTAGCAGCAATCCAATAAAGGAAATGGGTTCGAATAAATCCTGTCCATCAGAGTGTGTCTATGAATGGTTTCAGCTTCTTTCCATATGAATAAACTCGCCTTATTTTGAGAAAGATAAAGTACCTATTCTAAATAATTCCAGATTTAACTTGTTAGTCGTCCCGAGGTCGTCCCTCTTATAGAAGAGGGACAACTCTACCCAAACCTCTCGCGCGACCCTGGTATGACCAATATTCTAGCATGTCTGCCCCATAGCTATCTAACGATCTATTAAGGAGGTCGTCCCTTTGTTATGCTGCAAGTTGTTTTGTAGAAAAGAGATACCTTTGCTCATGATAGACGATAAAGATTAGCCCTTTTTTATGTTGTCAGCCGTTGTCCCTGGTGGTGTATCGTCTGCATCCACCAGAGCGATCAGCTCGGCCATCTTTTCAGTGCCAAATATACTGAAATTTTTGTATGTTTTCACTTTATACCTAAATAATCAAACTAATTTATTTTAGTAACGAGTCTGCTATTGGCTGGCTGGTCATTTCTCACTCTACCGTTTTCCTTAAATAGAATATTTAAAATAGTATTGACATGTCTTATCACGGCTTCAATTAGCGTTGTAATATTAGTTGTCACACTGATGAATTTGGAGTTGTATCCAACAGCCTTAAGGTAAGAATATTTCTCTTTCAAGCATTTGAAAAATAACTTTCATTTTATTTCAGAGGTAGTTCAAATTCTGTAACAAGCATCCCTAGCTATATTTTTGCAGCCTTTTTTTTGGGCTTCATTTTAATGGAACTCAAATTCTTTGCTATATTTACTGGAATACTTTATTGCTGTCTTTCAAGTTTAGCATGCTTTCTACCGGAACTTAGAGGAAAGCCTATGATTGAGTAAATAGATAATATATACGTATGACCACAAAGCAGTTTTATTTTAATTTAAGCGTTTCCTATTCTTAAAAGCATTCCCATTATGCTTCTTATTACGAAGAATAATAATCCTTAACGGAGTTTTATTTGAATGTTCGTGGTTCGAATGCTTTTTCTTTTTTTTGTGTCCTAAAATAATCATTATAAAATTTGATTTTACTAAGAACTGCTTGTGAATGTTACCATCTGAGCCAGATTCCTGAGAATTATTTGCCACTGAATTAACAAATGAAATATCAGTTGAGTCAGTTCTATTTTTGATCCATTTTATGAATTGAGAAACGTCGGTGTACATTCCTAAGTATCCGGGTACTGCGCAACGAAATCCAAAAGAAACAATACCTGAAACGTGCAATTTCTTGTATAATCTTCCACAAATACAAAGGCCTTACCTAGCAAAATATATCTACCATTTTCATCTACAATTTGCAGAGGACCCCCACTATCACCCTAAAAAAAATATTAAATTCAGCTATTAAAATTAATTTATAAATCTTCATATAGGTACTTGACATGTATCAATTCCTCCAGCCAAATATCCAGCGCAAAAGGCATTTTTTATATCATCTGGTTTATTGCCTGTACTATTTATCATTTGTCCACAAGTAGAATCAGGATAAATTAATATCCTAGCCTCATGTAAGGTACAAGGCATGCCTCCCTGGTATTTTAAAGTACCCATGCCTGGTACTGAAGCTTCTCTGGGCCTTGTGGTTACAACTAGAACCCAGTGTGCATTAAAAAAAATAGACTCAATCTTGTACTCACCATCTTTTGGTAAACATAAAGGCTCAAAAGTATCAGTACTGTTAGCTAAGGTTAATAGACAAATATCAAAATAAGGCTTTTTGGTCTGATACAATTCATGAACTTGCACTTTTTGCACTTTAAATTCTGTAATTCTAGGCTCGGTAGTGCAAATGTTATACATTCCTAAACGTACCGTGTAAATGTGTTCCAGTTTTATTCCAGAACTTTTTAAGAGAGAATAATTAAAATCCCGATCAGAAAAAATAACTAAGAATACCTACCTTACTTGCGACAAATACTCCTTGTAACAATGAGCAGCAGTTATCACAGTTTTTGGACCAATCAAGGCTCCTCCGCATGTAACTTGATTGTCTTGCATTAGTGCTGCGTACCACGGATATCGATAGTATCCAACGTCATATCCACCTACTATCCGTTCATTTAGAATTGTGAAATTCGAGCCTAAAGGATGACCACATTTTTGATCTAAAAATGTTTATTTGCAATTTAAATTTGTTATTTATTGGATTCTTTACCTTGTGCGGTTGATGTTAAGAAAAATATACAATAAATAATTAAAATGTATAATTTTGAGAATAAGTCACACATTTTAGTGCATAAACGATGCAATAATGCCTAGTCAAAGGTAGAAAGTGAAAAATGCGCTAGCATGATAACAGAAAAATTCTTCCATATATTAAATTCAAGGTGGGACATACTAAGCATATCTATTTTTTTTTTTCAAATACCTATTTTATTTTTATCTTTTAGTAGAAAAAATACTCTATTGTTTAAAGAGCCCTATGACTTTTTTCAAATCTCAAGTTTATTTATTTCTCTGTGTTCCTTTGCTGTTAAGAGGCAATCTGACAAACACTAGGTGAATAATTTTTATGGGTAATTTTCTAGATCTATTCTTCTCCACTCTGTAGGTATAGGTACTTAAGTTAAATAGTTTAATGTAAAGTCTGTTCTAACGCCTCAAAAACTCTACCCTTAAAGGTTTAGAAACCACCCCGTATACGAATTTAGGAATCTACGCATACATTTTTCTTTGCGCAGAATCGTGCATGACGGTATACCATTTTACGGTTACGTCCTGGTTGGAAAGGAACAAATCTGTAATTTGTAATTCCGATGTTGCTTGCGTCTTTATCCCGGCCTGATTTCAACTGATTCTTCCACTCAACTGATTTCATCTGATTCTTCCACTCAACCGATTTCATCGAATTCGGATGGTTATTCAGGTGAGTTTCATGCTCAAGTTGCTCTGCAATGGCGGTTTGAATACCTATACCATCCAAGTTGCCTCCCTGCAACAATAGTATACCTGATCCTTGGGGTATCACCGTATAGGGACGTTTTAGGGTAGACATACTCGTTCCAAGGAGCTATCCTCAAATTCCATAAGCTCTTAGAAGAGGCCTACTTCCTCCATAGGTATCATAATCAACATCATCTTCAATTTTCGACTGGAATCTTTCCCAGTTCCTTATCTTTTTAGTTAGCTAGGTACCTACTGTATTGATAAGTAACGGAAGGCGGGGATTATGATCCGATGCTTCCATTCAGCTACTGCTTCGGAAGAGGTCTGTTGCGGCCGATTAAGAATGCTAAGGAAAAGATAAGATGAAAATGAGGTTTGAATAAGAATATTTTGAAGCCCTTGGAGAAAAACAAGGAATTGCTGGCTGACGTCCAGGACCAGCAAAATGAAATAAAACATTTCATGAAGGAAATGGGTGCGCTTAAGAGTTTTAAAACCAATCTTATGACAAGCATAGAAACCTTGTCGAAGGAAAATTAAATGCATGCCAAAGACCGTATAAATTGGCAAATAAGGAGTTATACGAGCTAGCAAACTAGTCCAGAATTTCCACTGTCTCCGAGTCAGCTGCCGTTGCTTCATGTGTATTTCCTGGTGAATTGAACGACTCGGTTGACACATCTCAACTGGCTCCCATCGCGAACAGTTACAGGTTCTCCTCCACTTAAGTGTGGTATTGTCAAGTGCACACAAGATAAACGGAGGTTTCTTGTTATGTAATAGGGGATCAAGTAGCAAGAGGTATTTTTGGCCTCTTGGATATTCATCTGGACGAAAGGCTATATGATATCAGAGGCGTTGTTTTTTTCAATGCATCCCTGGGTAAGATTTGCTATAGGGTTATTCGAGAAACAACACCATACAATCAGAATGACCCATCATATTCCTATTATTGCTCTTAATATTAATCAGCAAACAGCGCTACCTCTCCTCAAACAAGTTGGAATTTTGGGTAGAGTTGCTGACCCAATCTTAAATATAATATTGATTCATATCAGAACAAGTCCCAAATAGAGAACCGCATGAGTATTTTAGTTTTTTCAAAATTTCAGGAGTGAAAGGATGCTCTAATTGCTATTCAATTTCCAGTTTTTAACAGATTTCCGGCCACCTGCTAAAAGATACAGGATGAAACATAAGTTGGCGATTTTTTTGCGAAAGTTTGGATTCACCCCATTCTGCTGGAGGGAGGGTTAAGTAGATTTTTGGTATTCAGTTTAGAAGAGTAGGTACCTTAGTACCTCGGGAGAGAGAGAGAAAGAGAGAGAGAAAGAGAGAGAGATTTTTTGAATATCGCAGCCCACTACGATTTTATCTTGAGTTATTGGATTTCATGTAAAATAAAGCTATTGACGTCATTATTTCTTTCGAAACAAACACTACAATTATGGCGTATGTCGAAAACATATTATACAGGGTAATACAAAAATATACAGTGTGTCTATTTTTCTAACCAGAGTTATCTTATTGGTTATTATTGAAGATACGAGGTCGGTTAAATTAGGACAAAGTCGCGCAATTTTATGGCCAATAAAATGGGGTTTTAACACTGGCACCGCTGCTTATAGATATTGCAGGTGGTAAACCAAGAATTACTTCGGCCCGGGATGACAACAGAATTCTTTTACCAGTGCGACAAAACACAGCTCTCAATTCTTCGCGAATAAGGATCACGTTAGGTATTGAAGCCTCAAAATCAACAATTCAAAGACGTATCCATGAGAGAAATTTAAGAGCCAGACATCATGTCCATTAATAAAAGCAGTCCATCGAAGAGCACGAATAAACTGGGCTAATATTCTGTGACGCAGCCCATTATATCAGACCTATATTATAATAATACTTATCTATTTACCTGACCAAAATGTAAACTTTGCTAAAATGGGATCTTTTTTCATATTTTGTAAGCTTCCCACAATAGAACATGAAGAAAAGGGTCAAGGCAGGTAGGTACCGGCCTCGACCCTCCAAAACTGTTATTGGGCTTGTAACATCATATTTTTGATTTGTAAGACATTCTAAAATAAACCATCAAAGTGAAAACGCAGCGTCTTTTATTTTGATTCGTTACAATTCAGAAGTGAGATAAAGAATTCCATGTATATATTTTTTTCTCTTACGTATTTCGCGTATTTATCCATTTTTCTCGATTATTCGCGATGAGAAGTGAGAGTGACAGTGATGATAACGAACTGGACCATAGGTCGTCGCGACGGAAACATAGACATTCAAAAAGCCACTTAGAACGGAATTTGGCTAGAGATCGCGAGCGGAGCCGATCTGAATCACCATCAAATGACGATGAAAACCGAGCTGGCCGCAGAAAAGAAGCAAAAAAGCGAAGAATTGAAGAGCTTATAGCAACAAAAGTGACTGAAATTCTGAGTCAAATTCAACCGACTATAAATGACCCCTCTTCGGCTAGCAGTACACAGCAATCAACCTCAAGGTCTTCAAGTGGTATAAATTTTGCAAAAAGTGAAATTGTTCCTATTTTCGACCCTGAAATTGGCGACGTCAACTCTCAAAATTGGCTGAACAAAATTGAGCAGCTTGGAATGATTCACCATTGGGACGACGCTACAAAATCGTATTTTATGCAATCAAAATTGTCCGGTATAGCCAAATTGTGGTACAATGGCCTTCGAGAATATAGCAAATCATGGGTAGATTGGAAAAATGCATTGTTAAAAGCGTTTCCGTCGCATGAGAATTTTGTGGACAATTTGAAGTTGATGCTGGATAGAAAAAAACAACCTGATGAGACAATATTACACTATTATTATTCAAAATGCGTGTTAATTAGAAAGTGTGATATATCGGACGTTAATGCAACTTCCTGTATAATTGATGGACTTCCCCACGAGCATCAGGCAACTGCCAAATCTGCTAATTTCAAAACCCCAGAAGAATTATTCCAGGGATTTTTGTGCAAACTAGCCAACACTCCTGTGCTACAAAAAAGTGAGAAAAACATGAAAACGGATTTAGCCAAATGTCATGTTTGTAAAAAAGGTGGACATTTAGCTCGTAACTGTTTTTTTAGAGATGCTAGTGCAGGACCATCTGGACAATCAAAATTTAGTGAATTCAAAAAACCGGGAGATTTCAAGTCAGGGGGCGCTAAAAGAATTAAAGAGTGTTCCCACTGCAACAGGAAGGGACATGTGAAAGAAGATTGTTGGCATTTGAACCCGGCTAAAGTACAACTATTACAAAGGCAAGTACCAAATAGTAGTTATATGATTGATGTTTCTATAAATAATAATACTTTCAAAGGGTATTTAGATACAGGGAGCCAAATTAATGTTGCAAATATTACCGTAATGGATAAACTCAACATTAAGTTGGAACCATCGAATATTGTAGTTAAAGGTTTTGGTAATAACATTATTTTTCCTAAAGGAATGAGCTCTGTAGATTTTAAATTTAAATATTTTTCCATAAAGTCTGATTTACATTTTGTAGTGGCCGATATGGGTGACATTGAAGTAATAATCGGCCAACCAATAATAAATAACGAAAATATGTTTATGCAAATCCAAGGCGGAACAGTTGCATTAAATTATTCAAAACATAAAAATACTATTCCAATATTGTTGAATAAAAACGTCACCATTAACCCGCATTGTACTTCTCTTGTGCCTTTCAGCAGTGCAATTAATCATGATGACTGTATGCTTATTTCTTCACAAACATACGATTTTCATGAACACTATTCAATTCCAACTTGTTTAATAAACCATTCTGACAAGGTACTCAGTGTCACCAATACAGGCCCCAGCAAAATTAACTGGAACAAAGGTAGAATTTTAGCCAGAGCTGTGCAAATAAATTTTTTGGAAATCGATAAAACTTTAACTACTGAAAATAAACAAACATGGTCATTAAATCTAACTGATGTCAAAGTGAATTTAGAAGCTTTGCAAGAATCACATTTGAAGCACTTCTATAATTTGTTAAATACATTTCAACACTGTTTTGCTAAAGATGTCACCGAATTAGGTGCTACTAATTTAATCGAGTTTGACATAGAGTTAGAGAAAAATGAACCAATTTTCTACCGACCCTACAGATATTCCGAAAATGAGAAAACTATCATTAGAAATAAAATTAAGGAAATGTTAGAAAACGGAATTATAAGAAAATCTCGATCAAATTTTTCGAGTCCAGCTATTTTAATTAAAAAGAAAAATGGTGATCACAGGTTATGTATCGATTATAGGAAATTAAATTCTATTACTATAAAAGATAGATATCCGCTCCCACATATCGAAGATCA